ATGTGTGGGGTGGTAAAGCATTACTCTCCAGGATACAAAGAAGTACTGTTTATCAGTTCCTGGAGACAGACTTGGAGTGATTACAGGGAGAAACCACAGATTATACTTGGGAAATGTTGGTTGAATCACACGTTTTATTCTTGAAAGACTTTTATAGGTTGTTTTGTGGGGTTGTGGTGAGGGGATCTGTACCCTATCGGAGTTACTTTTTTTCCCAAGTAGAAAACCCAAATCATTGTGAACTGAATATATATGATTCTAGCTGAAATAACACCATAAGGCTTTAGAACTGATTTAAGGATGTATTTATTTTACAAGATACAAATGTTTAATATTTAATAGGAATTAAAGTGCTTAATTTTACAGTATTTTCAATTATCTGCCTTTATGACCAAATATACATATGTTACACAATATATACACTTTGCAAATATTTTACATTCATATAGCTAGAAAAGAAAAAATTGTATACACTTTTTCACATTAGAGTCAATGGTAAAATTCTGATAACAGACCTTTTCAATCTTTGTCACCAAATCAAAAGAAAAATCCAGATAATATTTTCAAATATCAGTCAACTGACACTCACAAGATGAAATGCTAGTCTGGCTTTTAAAAAGTTTTATATACACACGCGATTGTTTTGCTAATGAAGACTCCCCAAGTGATACATTCCAATATCCATATACTATGTAATATTTAATGTAATTGTTACCCTAATGGTCCCCACAGATTATTGTTTTTTCCCAAACCTATATTTCATTCTATATGTTTAGTATTCACTTATTAAAATATACTAAGAGGTTTTTTTGATTTAATTTTTCACTAAATCTACCACAATGAATTTTAGGAAAAGGGATGACCCTCATATAACTCTCAGTGACTCCAACAAGTAAACTGTCTCGTTGAAGTCATGTGCTATTTCAGCTCAAAACAGGAAAGACTGCATTCTCACAGGTGCTCAGTCCAGAAAGTAAAAGATTATAAATTAATTTAGAGGGATGTTTTGCCTTAGCAAAAGTACAAAAAAATAGTCTAAGAGAATGAAACTATTTTTAAAAAACCTAAAGGAAAACAATAACAAGAAGATACCATAGTCTATAATTTAGAAGCCAAGGTCAAAGCCTGGGTGCAATGAATCACATCAGCATGCAAAAACATAGATTTGTAATTTATGGTTTATATTCCTTCTGCAGCTTAAGTATTTTTCTCTTAACACACTTTGCTCTGATCTGGAGACTATCTACCTGTGTTCATTCTTATTTGTTTCAATTTCTCATCTTATTCATCTCTACCAGATCTGTAAAGAAAGCAAAGTTACCTTCCCATGACTCAACGTGATTCAGGGGCATGTATGAGAATGAATTATATATTCAAAATCCATGTAAACAACTTGTTAAAATATTTCAACAATTAAAATTTCTTTCCTATGGAAAGAGAATTGAAAATCAATAAGTTTTACATATGTACATACAATAGAAATTCACAAAAAGGATTTTTAAAGAAGACCTAGTGGTCTTTCTACTTAATCATAATCTCTAAATCTAGAGAAGCTATAGTAGACAGTAGTACGAAAATAAAAAGTAGCTTGAATCTAATAAAACTGGGTAAGAATGAAGAAGTAACATGATCCACTATAGATGTCAACACAGTCCTAAGAATAGGAACTGGCTAGCCACATAGTCCTTATATTAATACATTCTTATAGATTACAAAATTTATTAATGAAAACATTGATATTCTTGCCTTTGAAATTTTAGCTTATAAATACCATGTGCTTAATCTTAGACCCACTAACATGAACATTATATGATGCAGGAAATTTTAATTCTCCTCTAATAGAGCACTATAGCAAGGATACTTACCAAAAAAAGACCTTTGTTCCTTAAAATGTACTTATGTATTTGCTCCTGTTGGTGTCTATTCCTCAGAATATATCCATTGCTGAAAGATCCGTTTAGAGATATATCACAGACAGTATGCTTAAGAACAACTTAAGGCTTTGGATACAAATGAACAAGATCTAATGTTTGAAGGCAGGGAACCCACCTTGTCTCCACAGAGATAAGAAAAAGTAAAACACAATCATGAACTTCCACATGGATTTTTGAGAAAAGGTTTTTAGAAGGCATCAATGAATCTATAACAACCCTGCAGTACCATGAAGTTTATAGATTTCTTTATATATTTATGACAGAACAAGTGCTCTTTAAAAAAAAATACACAGGGTGCATTTAAAAGATGAATTTCTATAAAAAGTTTGGTAATTTAAAAAAATTGGAGTGGGTTGCCCAGTAAAGGTAACCTGTATATTGAATTAATGGAAAACAAACTGTAGCTTAATAATATAATACGTATATGTGCTTTACTTGTTTCACTCTCCACACTCTTTGAGAAAGTAAAAATGATTTTGATAGCATTTGAATCCAAGAAATGAAGCCCACCCCTTCCCCACCAWTTACCTCCTCAGTACTCAGCAATTAGAATTATACTATATAGGAAGTCAGTCTTCTATATGCTTGTGACTAGGGGTCTTCATACTAAACTTTCAATATAAAACCATATCTGGAGAGTTTATTGCTTGCATATAAGCTGGCATTACAGATGCCATTATTATGAAAGTGGCTGGCACTTTTCATTATTGAGCTCCACTTAAAACCTTGATAAAAGTCTCACACTTATCAAATGGTAGACTTTCAAAAAAGCAAAATTTAAGTTTTTTAAAAGCTGGAATGTTTTCTAATGAATATAGTTTTATCAAAGAAGTATTTTTAACTTTAGAAGAAGGGCACTTAACAAGATGACTTTGGAAAGCACCAAATTAGACAATGACCATTAAAACCCATATGGAATGTTGATTTTAATAGGAAAGTTTCTTTCTTAAGGTTCAGTTTGTCATGACTGCTCACACCAGTTGCTCTTTAACAACCTCCTCAAGGTCTCTTAGTTGAGCAGCTAAGAGTGTTTTACCTTTCTCCAAGTAAATGTGTGATTCTTTAAAGAGACACAAATGAGTGAGGCTGCTACCCTGCATCTCTTCATGCTTGACTGACTGAAGATTGTGGGATGAAAAGTGAAGATGATGACTAGGTAACCAGAAATTTTCTTCTAGTTCTGATATTTCTCAGAAAAAAAAAATGTAAAGAGAATGACTACTAAGAGCACGGTAATAATACTCTTTGTGAGTATTCTTTCCATAACCTAAGTTAGACAACACTGAATGTGTTCATGTTACTTTTATTCTAAAAAGACTTACTGGTAGGAAAAAATTGAGTCATCTGGCTGCTCAAATAATTTTCAAAAATAATCAAGTTGTCTAGTTGCCACATATATATCCAATGATCTATTCACATTTACAAGCGAATAGATCATTGGATATATATATGCTCTGATAATCATTGTATACTTTTATTGCTTCTCTTTTCTTGAGATTAAGAAAACCAAAGTATTATCTATAGCTGTAATTTTCTCAATAACYATCCTGGACCTGTTTTTCTTTCTTACACACATACCACAGTTGGCAGCTAGGAAAGAGAAGCAATGTACATTTTCTTTCATTTTGGCCCTGATTTAATAGGGTACAAGAAGCTATCTTTTTCTCTTTGTGGCTCTAAGTATTTGGTTTAAAGTTAATGATCATGGCTGGTATTCCTTTCACGGAGGAAAGGAACCTAATTATGTCAGCCATAATTGGTTCATTTACTCCTTTGGAGTGGTGGGAAAAAAAAAATCTTAAGACATATTTCTTAAAGCAAAAGGGCCTGAAATAAATAGCAGTTTCAAACTGATTAAATGTAGATATTTACTCATTGTCTACATTTAAGATGCAGTCCTTACAGACTGAGGATAGTAAATTTCTAGCACATTGGTGTATAAAAAGCGATAATGCTTGAGTTATGATAGTGTAAAAGGAAATGAAAAACTGAGGTTGAGAAAAGAATTAAATAAGCAACTCCATGTGAGATTTTAATCACCAGTAAAATAGAAAAGAAGAGCAGCAGCCTTCATGARAAAGAATTGCAATCTATTAAAATTCCACAGAGGATAAAAGGGGGAAAAATTCTCCTATTCTTTAATGATTTGTACCTCCTGAAAACCTGCCATTAAAATATTGCTTTTTGAATCTTGTCCTCCCCACCCCCTGCTCGTCTCTGGGGAGGTGGTTGTGCATAAACTTCCTTTACTATCTTTCAACCCCTGCCCCCAAACATAGGCTATCGTGTGTGAATTTTGTTTCACATCTGACCAAGGAATAGGCCCACATAGTTATCTTAAGTGTTCATCAGACATAGTCCTTATTCAACCATGCATAACAGTCACATGGAAAAAGGAAACAATGACAAAAAAATGCAGTTTCCACATGTCCCAGGTTCTCTGTAAGGTCAGGTGTCTTCTATAGTTCAAGTTTTGGTGAAGATTTTTGCACACGCTGATGTTAACTACTACAACAGTTATATTTTTGTAAAAGGCAAATTAACCCGTATGACTTTGACCATCCCAGTGACCAAAATGCACTTTAATTTCAGAATAATCAAGACTGAAACATTAACTAAACCCTCATCTTATATTTAAATAGGTATTAATAGCACCTTCTAAGAGAGGCACTGTTTTAAATAGGCACAGAACAAAAACAAACAAACAAAACCAAAAAAACTCTAAAAATACTGTTGGAATTCACTAATTTGCCCCATGCCACTTAATGCTTTTTCTTATAAAAATATCAACACCCTTAGTTGCCAATCAGTTAAACATAAATCACCCAAAACATTTAAGTTTAGAACACTGCTCAATTCCAAGATAAAACATGCTTTTTATTTTAAAAATAAATTAGAGATGAATGTGAACCTAAAGCTGAAGAGAAAAGCATGTATAGTATATATATTTATATTTAATACTATATACAGATAATTGCTATATACTTTATTCTGAAGAGTATTTCTACAAAAACAAGTATTATCTTTTAAGTCAAAAGGTTGAACACCAATAATTTGTCCTTTTTCTTTTGTTTTAAAAGAACATATATCATTTATGCAGCTTGAGATTTATAAACTAAATAAGTTAATATTAATAGCTAAACTGTCCCTGTATTTATCACCATGGATCTATTTTGGCAACACGGAGGTATATCTTTTAAACTGTTACAGATCCTACATGTGAAAGAGAAGACATTGAGGGATTTTTTTAAATGAAAGTGGCCCATTCTAACCTGGTAGTGATACAATCAACTGACACCATTTTCTTCAAGACAAAAAGCACATATACTAGTTCATAAAAACTCCATTTTTCACATTATTTCAAAACTTTACAGGGAGAATGGCTCTGCACATTAATCTTACTAAGAGTACACAAATGGGAAAACAATCCCCAACAGGTGGCATTGATGAGCCTATAGTTTTCAACGTAAAGTGCTAAGAGGTGAGGAAGGAGAGCTGGGGATATCTGGAGCAGAACGTCTTGCTTGAGACCCCACACTGCAGCTGATCCGACAGTTCAACATTCTGATTTTTTCTTAGGTTCAGGATGATCGTCCAAAGTGGCTTGGTGCTCATTTGGACCATCTGGTGTCTCACCTGTGACAGCTAAAAGAATGATTTTCAGCCACTTCTGTTTCAGTTCCTCACTGTCTGCAGCAAAGCTGTGCACAGACTTGGACTGAGTCAGTTTGAAACTGTGYGGCAGGTCTGCACTCCTTGGCATTTCATCCACGAAGTAGCCCAGGAGTGGAATGGTAGCTTGGGCTTTGACATCCTGCGCAAAGAACATTGCACGAGGGAGAGAGCTGTTAGTCTGTTGTGTGTGGCCCTTGTTCCTACAAAACCTCTTTTGCTACTACTGCCCAACCCAGATTCACTCTGAGTGCTCCATGGGCAGAGGGGGTGGTTCCAATGCCTGGACATGAGGCTGATGGAGTTGGCTGAGTGAATGCATGAATGAGAGTCAGCACCCAAATCGGCCAGGACCCACTGATGATATTACCTCATTTCTGAGGGAGCTCATTCAGTGCTCTACTTAGTGGTACTTGGGATTTAACCCAGGGGTGCTTTACCACTGAGCTACATCCCCAGCCCTTTTTATTCTGATATAGGGTCTCTTTACATTGCTGAGGGCCTTGCTAAGTTACTGAGGCAGGCCTCAAATTTGTGATCCTCCATTCTTAGCCTGACAAGTCACTAGGATTACAGGTGGACGCCACCAAGCCCAGCTCAACTTTTCTTAAATGTTTCCTATCATTAAAAAGGTGTGCTCTCCCCTTTTACTTTTCCCTCTGCTTTCCTTTCTCCTCCTCATGTTCTTTCCTAACTCAATTTACCTTTTCTCAAACCCACTGAATAGGAATGAGCAAAGAAAGGGGATAAATGATTCACAGGGTGAAGAAAATAGAAACTATAAAATTTATCATCTTAAACAACAAACTTAAGTTATTCATTCTTTTTCTTTTTTGGTATTGGGGATTGAACCCAGGGGCACTCAATCACTGAGCCACATCCTCAGTCTGTTTTGTATTTTATTTAGAGACAGAGTCTCAGTGAGTTGCTTAGGGCCTTGCCAAGTTGTTGAGCCTGGCTTTGAACTTTCGATCTGCCTGCCTCAGCCTCCTGAGCCACTGTAATTACAGATGTGCACCACCACATCCCACCTATTTTTCAATTTTAATGAGACACAATGACAGCCTGAGCTCTTTTGTTCTAGGGAGGAGCAATGGCAGGATTGAGTTCACTGTCCACATGTCTCCCTCTGTCCCTGGGGGCATCTTGCCTTCAAGCAGATGTGGTTTAGTTACCTGGGGGGCACCGTACATGTACAGCACAAGAGGGTCTTGCTTGGGGATCACACACCAAGCTTTCTGCCAAGGTTTTGTTTTCTCCATGTACTGAAGAAAGCTGCATACCACACTATTTCCAGATACTTCTGCAGATTCAATCTAGAGCCATTATGATGGGCAGAAAGAATAAACAAAATAAAATCGAAGTAATTCAACTTAGGGAAAATACTCAAAGAATATATATTCATATAAAATGTCTTCTAGAATTGTCCAAAAAAGATTTAGTTTGCAATTACATTTGAAACTCTGTCACTAACATGGAAAAATACTTAGGTCAACTCTAACTCTTACTAGAAATCTATCTTTATTTATCTATCTATTTATTTTTACATGAGGTCTCATTATTATTATTATTATTATTTGCATTACAATTTTTTATTTTTAATCTTTATTTATTTCCATTACAATTCTTAATACACCTATATACCACAATTTTATCATATCTCTGTATACAAGATGACACAGCCACATCAATGTTTATAGCAGCACAATTCACAATAGCTAAACTGTGGAGCCAACCTAGATGTCCTTCAATGGATGAATGGATTAAAAATGTGGTATTTATACACAATGGAATATTACTCAGCACTAAAAAATAATAAAATCATGGCATTTTCAGGGAAATGGATGGCATTAGAGTAGGACTCAAATAAACATGTATTGACTGCTTTTTAAAGGCAGTTTCCTCTGCTTGATACATGTATTTAATTTAATCATCATATCAACATTGAGAAGTTAGTACTTTCATTATCTCTGAAGCTCAGTTTTTTGTTTTTTTTTTTTTTTGTTTTTTTCACCAGGGATTGAACTCAGGGGTACTCAACTACCAAGCACATCCACATCCCTTTTTTGTATTTTATTTAGAGACAAGGTTTCACTGAGTTGCTTAGGGCCTCACCATTGCTGAGACTGGCTTTGAACTCTCAATCCTCCTGTCTCAGCCTCCTAAGCTTCTGGGATTATAGGTGTGAGCCACAGTGCCCAGCTAGAAGCTCAGCATTTTTAAACAGTTTCCCCAAGAGCACACATTTAGGAATTTGAGTGCTAGAATTTTAGCCCAGTACGAATCCAAACCATGAACTTTGAGCCACAATACTCCAACAATGCATAAATGCAATAGCAAAAAGGTAAAAACAGATCAATTGTCCTAGTACCTGAGATAATTTAAAATATTTCATTGTGACAAATTTTTGAAAAGTCATTTTATAGTTTTCTGCTTTGCTTTTAATATATTAATTACTGTCAAAAAAGGAAATAAAACCATTTAACTAAATTTTTATTTTACACTTTTATTTCTATTATTATTATTATTATTATTATTATTATTTTGGTATTGGGAATTGAACTCAGGGATACTCAACCACTGAGCCACATCCCCAGCTCTATTTTGTATTTTATTTAGAGACAGGGTCTGAGTTGCTGAGCACCTCACTTTTGCTGAGACTGGTTAAAACTCATGATCCTCTTGCCTCAGCCTCCCAAGCTGCTGGGATTACAGGTGTGTGCCATTGAGCCTGGCTTCTATTTTTATTTCTGAAATGGTGTGGTGCTACTCAGTTTTGTCACGGAAAATGTGAATGTGAGAGATAAGAGAATGCATACATACACTTAAATGTATACCAGAGAATTACTTTGTGTAGTGGTTAAAATATTTCATTCTTTCCAAGCCGAGAGGCCATACCAAGTAACATAGATACTTATGTGAAGAAAATAAACTTTCACAAATTTTCATTGACAAAATTTAAAATATTTAGTATGTACTTAATTTTTTTTTAAATGTGCGTCTATTAATCAGAATGGAATTCTTCTGGGGAAGATAACATTTTTTTCCCCCAAAGTGCTGATTTGTTACCAGGTGATACACATTTCTGTGTAAGAGTAAACATTAAGAAACTTTTATAGCAATTTGACTTCGTGATAATACCTAAGTGCATGCTTGTATATTTTTGTTGATCTGTGATGGTTTGGATATATAACTGATGCTTCATCACAGATAGTTTTTTGTGAAACTATCTGTGTTTAAGAAGAAACTATCTGTATTGGCAAATGACAACCTGCAAGTTAACTCCACCTGCTTTTTTATGGCCTACAAGATAACAGTAGTTTTTACAGATGAACATTTACAATCAACTTGATGATAAGAACACTAACTTTAGACTGCAGTTAAATGAAATGTCATCTTCCCCCAGAGAATTATATTTTTCTTATTTGTAGACCCATATTACAAAACCTACATATGTAATTTATAATATTTTTGAATTTTTAAATCCAAACAATGGCTCAGCAGTGAAGAGGATAAGCTTGCAAATATAATAAATCAAATACATTGAATTTTGTCAACCTAATTTGTGGAAACTTATTTCTTTTTATTTTAAAAACACCCATTTAATATTCTTGGTCTGGCCTTTTGGTCTGCAAAGAATAAAATATTTTCTCTGACCCTTTTATAGAGAAGTTGACCACTGTTCCGCAGCACACAACAGTCTAGCTGGGACAGTGTTAAGTCTCAGATGCATATATATTAAGTGCATGCATGCTTATCTCCTACTTATGGACTGCACATTGTATTTAGTTAAATGAATTAACCAAATAAGTAAATGATTTTCCCTCAGTATAAGGTTTTCTAGAAAACTAGCTACTGATTTTTATTTCACAGAGACACCCTGAAACTCATCATTTAACACATGATCTGACTCATTATACTCTGCCAGTTTCATGAGCTGCTATTAAGTCTTGGGGCTGAAGCTGTGTTCCTGGGGGTAAATGAAGAGTATCCTCCTCTCATTCTTGCCCAAGAAAGCAACATCTTGGTCTGCCATACAAGTAACACTTACATCCCATTAGGATTCAGAATTATATTTAGAATTTCAGCATATAGGCCTATATTTTAACTTCAAACAGAGAATTTGGAGTTTAAGATCCTTTTTCAGTTAACCGAAATGACCTTTGTATATTTACCTCAATAAGCTCAATTAGCAGCTAATCAGTTATTCTTTAGAAAAATTTTTGTTAGTACCAGGGATTGAACCCAAGGTTGCTTAACAACTGAGCCACATCCTAGCCTTAAAAAACAAATAAACAAAAAAAACCCCTCTTTTTAAAAAATGTTTTAAAATTATATATATATRTGTGTGTGTGTACACACACATACATAATATATATATATAATTTTTATTTATATATAATATATATATGTTTTATTTTGCTAAGTCCTTAGGGCCTTAAGTTGCTGAGGTTAGTCTGCAACTTGCAATCCTCCTGCCTCAGCCTCCTAAGCCATAAGGATTATAAGTGTGTACTGCCTCTTTAAAAATTCTTGTTAAACCAAATCTCTAATTTTTGGATACATAGAATTTTGATCCTATTTCCAGGCTTCCCTGAACTTCCTGCCACAAAAGCCTTATTACATAAAGGCTTATATTATCTTTGACTGTGAACCCATTTCAGATATATAAGTTCTATTGAACATAAATTCACTTGAGACACTTCAGTAATACAGTTACCAGATTATGTCACTGGCTATTAAATGATTGTAATGAACTGGCTATTTATTTTAATACAATAAGTTGAAAGAGTTGTTCAGGTAAACAGCATTTTAATCTAAATTTGAAAATTTTCATGAAGTGGTTTTCAAAAGCCAATATGTTGAAATTGAAAGAAATGCTTTCCTATAAAGAAAAGATTCTATAATTTGAATGTTAGAAGACATACAAACTAATACTCTAATATTTGGTTATAGCTACTATGTGCATATTGGTTAACACAGTCCCTCTATCTGTCCAACCAAGTAAGTTCCTAAAAGWCAGCAAAAAGTTATCTTGCTTATTGTTACTCCAATTATTAAATACTAAGAGGAACAAAGTATATTACTTGTATTCCTCGTGGTTAAGAGAATTCTATGTTCCTGGCAGAAACACCTAAAAGATGTCCAACATTTAACATTTCATACCTCTAGAATTCCTTTCCTTTTCTTTTCTTCACTGTCTGTGAATCCACTTATTATTTGATAACAATCTTTACAGACTTTGCTCAGTTTCCCACCATCATACTCAAGTTGAGCTTTGTAGTCAGAACACTTCCAGCAGACCACCTTAAATTTTGAAAAAAGGATAATGAAGAGTGAATAGTCATCTTTAGAAGACAAGAAGGTTTAATCAATAATCAATTAATTATACATAATAATAAATGAAAAAAAACACACAGGGAGGATTTTTGTTAAACAACATCCACATAAACATTTGAAGTAAATATCAAGGTGTTGTAATCTGTGATGGGCTCTGCTTATCCTTTTCTTCTTGACTTCCTGGAATAGGAGATCCGATCCCTGAAAGCTTGGTCCAGACCTTTATTTTTATACTTCTGGATAATTCATCCATGTCYTTAAAACTCATGATGTTCCCTACCCTGGGCTCTCTTCATATGGGGACTCCTCCCCTTTCAGCCTGTTCTTATAAATCCTGTCACAAGAAATGGTCCAGCCACCCAACCAGTCATAAAAAGTAGGAAACATAGGAATCGTTCCCACCATCTTCCTACTACCTCACTCCATAAATTCACTATTTTAAGTTCTGCTGATTTTACCTTCTAAACCTTTCTTCAGTCTTGTCTTTCGTATAATCACTCAAGTCTAAACTATCAGCATGCTTAGTTTGGACTACTTTTTATAGCCTCTTGACTAGTCCTCAAAGAATTCTTACTGGCTTTCAGGCCTCTACTCTTAAACCTCCAGGCTATTTTCCAAACAGCCAGATGCTTTCTGAAATATGCTAACCTGATGTGATCCTCTTCTTGTTAAAACTCCCCAGTCTCTCCTTTGCTCTTTGTTAAAGAACAAATTGTGAAGCATGGACTGTAAAGTCTTGTATAACTGGTCCTCTTTCTCCCCTGGCTCTGACTTCTTCTAGCCCCCAAAGTACATGTTGCCTTGCTCTCTCATCTCTGCTTCAGTGAGTTAATTTTGCTAACTCAAATTTCACTTCCTCTTTTCAGGGGTCAGGGTTGTGGCTCAGTGGTACAGCGCTTCCCTAGGATGTGTGAGGCAGTGGGTTCAATTCTCAGCACCGCATATACATAAATAAAATAAAGGTCAACAACTAAAAACAATTAAAAGAAAAAAAGGAAGAAGAAAGGTTCCAACTTCCAGAATAGAACCTGAGTCCTGTCACTGTGCCACTAAGTTTCCTGTACTTTTTGATTACAGTTTTTAATTATTTACTTGTAAGATTGTTTGTCTCCTTTACTAGGCTATAAACTCTAGGAGAGATTATTCTTGAATATTTTGTTCACCAGGCATACAATAAACATTACAGAATGTCAGTGAATGAATGACTATAATGCAAATAAATGCATGTTACTTTTTAGTGAATGGTATTCAAATTTCTAATTACTATAGGATAATTGTTTAAAATTTTTCTAGTTTAAGAAATTACTTTTTTATTATTATTATGGAGGTATATCCCCTCACCAATGTATAGTGAACTGTATCTAAGAAATATATAAATATCATTCAAAATTTGTTTTCCTGCGCTGGGGACCAAACCCAGGGCTGTCTATGTACTAGGCAAAGGCTCTATCACTGAGCCACATCCCCAATCCCTAGTCAAAATTTTAAACTAGGTTCATAGCATTTAAAATTCATGATAAAAATGGTCAGGGGTTGGGTATAGCTTAGTGGCAGAGTGTGTACTTAGCATGGACAAAGACCTGGGTTCAATACCCATCCCCTTAAAAAAAAAAAAAAATCCTACCATTTTCTTATAATGAAATTACTTTAGGGGGATTTAGAATTAGACTTGTCTGTATCTGCTAACTCAAATCAACTGTTTTATTTATTTTCAAATCATATAGCATTTTTAAAATTTTTATTTTTTTTAATTGTACACAATACCTTTATTTTGTTTATTCATTTTTATGTGGTGTTGAGGATCGAACGCAGGGGCTCAYGCAGGCCAGGCGAGCACTCTACGGCTGAGCCACAACCCCAGCCTCATATAGTATTTTGATATTCTGCTAGCACACATTATTGTTTGTTGACCAAAGGCAAGCATGCCAATGCCAGAAATGATTTCTGATAAACTCAATGATGGATTTAAAAAGTCTTACTCTAAGATGTTTGTTATTTGTTTAGTTTTGATTACAAAACTAAAAACTGAGTCTTAGAAAAAGAGAAAGAATAAATCTGCAATAAAATGAGAATAAGCTAAAAGAAATATCAACATAAATTGTTGCAGGTAAGCACATAACAAATAAATCATGATGCTGCAATGCCTACAATGAAGTTCACCCATTCTTCTTAACAGAAAGGATCTAGTCTTCAGCTTGGTTCCTCCCAACCAGCCAAATTGCTGCTACCTCTTTGTAGCTTCATTTGACACTTTCTCTTCACTCTTTCCAATGACACTCAGCTCAATGGCTGATCAAACTATGTTCAAATTTTATTTATAAGTAGCATCATTACTTTTCTATATAACATTGTAATTATTAATTCGTATCATAAACATATTATTATATAAGTAACTTAAACTTTCATAAATAACCAAAGAATATAAAACATGCCAGAAAATTTGTAAGTTTTATAAGTTTATATAACAATTGAGATATATATATATACAGACTGTGTAAAAAGTCATAATATGAAATATGTAACCATGATTAAACATATTTTTGACTCTTGATTTTTATCTTTATGGCAGAATAGATACATATGAAGAATCCTTTTGCCCTCATACAACTGGCTTCTAGACACAACAAATGTAACTTTAAAACTTGACTTGACTTTAGAGAGAATTCTCCAAGGTATAAAGACTAAAACCCAATGAATAAACAAAAAAAAAAAAAAAGAAAAAAAGAAAAACAGTGAGCTGAAAGTATAATTTTTAATAAACCGATCAAACTCGAAGTTTATATTTGGAAAAAGTCCTAGGGCCTGAAGAACAGGGGGAAGTGAAACCGAGACTCAGTCATTTATACTAAACTTATGAAAGGAGGATCATGAAATATCAACCAAACATGAGCTCACAATCAGACTAGCACAGTATTTCAGAAAATAAACTGTCATAAACCAGAATTAGTAGAAATAACCACCAACAGACTTTGACCAGATATTGGCATTACCGGGACAGAAATCCTGAAGTTGTATAAGAAGGGTTTGAAAAAAAAAATAAAGTGGAAAACAATACAAAAACTATAGAAATGAACAGGCAGATTTAGAAGGGAAAAAAAAAAACTTTCAGAAATAAAAAATAAGATGAAATTGAAAATGCAAACAATCAATAAAATAGCAGTTAGCTACAACTAAGGAGAATGTTCAAACTAATAAAATTAACAAAATATAGATATGCTACAAAGAGAGGCATGGAGATAGAGACCTGGAGGGTAGAATAGGAAGGTCGTGTAACACAAAGACCATATTGTACAACATTTGAATCTTCATTATAGAGGAGTTGAGAAAATTATTAAGAAATAACATATACACAATAGTTCCAACAATTCTTGGCACCAGTACACCATAAATGGTAGCTACTCTTTTTATCATGACTGCTACTCTCCTCTACAAACTTGCTTCATTTTTCTATATATTTTTATGTCACTTAATGACATTACCATTTATTCACCTCATCTTAATGTGGGGAGAGTCACTCTTGATTACTCATTTTGCCCAACTTAGAACCATCTCCCTTTCAAACTTGGTCAAATCAAAGCATGGCATGTCTGACTTTCAATGACCTCATCTTTACCTACATTTCTAGTCCCAGCTGGCAACAGCCAGTCCCTGTCTTACAGTGTTTAATATCAAGCCAGCCTGTATGCCCAATATATCAATTGTATCCTCAGTTCAAACATGCTGCCCCACTAATTCTCTGGAAGCTGCTCTCCCTTCGGCTGCCATGCCACCAAGGGAAACATCTGGGTCTCTGGCAATAGGTCTGGTTGACCATTGTTAACTCAGAGACATGAAGAATTAACTCCATCATACCTCAGTTTCCAGAAGGCCTGGTCTCTCCAGTTGTTTTCCTAGACTCTTCCCATACACACTGCTTTGTATGTGATGTAGTCCCCCATCTTCCTTCCACCCCTCAGAACCCTCTCACAGGGCCCTCACTCATGAATCCTCAAGTAGAGGCTGCCGGTTTCTCTCACCTCCCCTTGTGCCATCTCTGAAAACCTCAGGGCTGAAAGCTGGGGTTTGTAGCCTTTGGTTTTCTTCTTGCCCTCAGAACCCCCTGGCTTTAGCCTTTTCCCCTCCTSAGCTATTGTCTCCTCATCATCTGCCTCACCACCAGGATTTTATAGCTAAAATGGAGCTTAGTTCACCAGGGTATCACAATGCCTGGTGACTTCAACATCCACATGACTAACCCACTGAACTGACTTCTTAGGTCCCTACTGCCTGTGCCATTCTTACGAGGTCAGTCTCATGGCTACTCATGAGACTGTGTCACCACCAGGGACTGAACCACATTTGACACGACAAGTTCAAACATGACTTGCTTGCTGGCAGCGGTCCACTAAGATGCAGCTTTGAAATTACAGAACTCCTTCTGTCCATTGACCCCCACCACTTTTTCTCAGCAACCCTCTGCTCTCCCTCTGAGCTTTCCTACCTTCTTTGTTATTAACTTAGACTTTCCTTATTCATTATGAACTATCTGATGAAGACACCTCTCTCTCTCCTTGTTTTTCTCACTACATTGACTCTGGATAAACTCTGCCATTTGCCTTCTCTGGCCTGAGCTGAATTTTGTTAGAGAAATCATTGCCATTAAGCTGATGACTATCCCTTTAATCTATGACCACAGACTACTAATGAGCATCTAGTCTGCCTGTGTTTCTCTGGCAGGCTTACCTTTTTCTTCCCAGGGCATATTGTTTTATACTTAGTCTTCTCTCTTGAATCTTCCCATCTCCCCCTTCCTTCCTCCTTTACTCTCAACTTACGACTGCCTCATTCTTCAATGAAAATACAACATTGAACCTAAACTCCCTCATTTCACACCMCAAAGCCATAAACAACAGCAACCTGTCGCCATTTGTAACCATCTTTCCTTCTGTTACAATGTTCCCCTCTGCCCATCAAAAGCCAGAACTTCTACCTGAAGGGTGAGTTCCACTTCTTCTTGTCTTCTCAAAGACACCAAGTCCTCTGGGCATTCTCTCTCTTACCACCTCTCGCGCCACACTGCCCCTTACTCATCATGTTCCAGCCACGTGGCTTTTGGCAATCTTGTGACTAGAGCAATCTCTTTCCTACTGCAGGTCTTTGGCTCAGACTCACCGTCTGCAATGCTCCTCCTGCCTCCTCCCTGGGATTAGCTCTTTCTCCCTCTTTAGRTATCAGCTAAGTACCAACCCTTCAGGTAGGTCTTCTTTTTTTTCTAAATAAAATTGGTTCCAAATCTTCCATTACTCCTACCTTCTCTTTTAACTTCTTGACCATTTTCTAATTCTGTTGACAGTAATTCGAAACTCTTGTCTTTCTCCATTATAATGTAAGCTCTGTGAAGCCAGGATCATTTTGTTTACCAGTTTGTTGTGTTTTTTTTTGCTACTGGGAATTGAGCTCAGGGGCACTCAACCACTGAGCCACCTCCCCAGCCCATTTTGGATTTTATTTAAAGAGAGGGTCTCACTGAGTTGCTCATCGCCTCACTATTGTTGAGGCTGGCTTTGAATTTGCAATCCTCCTGCCTTATCCTCCCAAGTCATTGGGATTACAGGTATGTGCCACTGTGCCTGGCTCCTATTTTGTATTTTCTTTAGAGACAGGGTCTCTCACTGAGTTGCTTAGGGCACTGAGTTGCTCAAGCTGGTTTTGAACTCATAATCCTCCTGCCTCAGACTTGCTGGAATTATAGGCGGGCACCACCACACCTAGCTTTGTTTCCCATTTTTTCCTCCAGGGTTCAGCACAAAACTGAGTGCTTTGCACAAAATTGGCACCAAAATAGGCTTATTAAGTGATTTTTTTAAATGATCTTTTTAAAAAAATATTTTCCCAGATGATAATCTAACCACTTACACCATTACTAGTGACCTTAATGAACCAGAAATCTCACTTACATGTCCACATGCTCGACAATGGTGCCTTCTCCTTGTCAGTGCATTGAAAGGTTCCTTGCATTTCATACACATTGTCACTTCATTGTCTCGGATCCATCTCGGGGCTCTTTTCCCTAGCTCAGCAGTCTTTAAAAAAAGGAAGAAAAAAAGAGAGAGAGATAATATTAATAGAAAAATTGTAATTTCCCTTTTTATTAAAAAAAAAACTATTTTAACAATTGTATAAACCATGTTCTGAAACTCAAGACCCAAGAAAAGAAATCAAAGATTCAAAGAAGTTTAAAGAGTGTCAAGAAATACTCACTACTGTATCCATCAAGAAGGAATGAGATTCTGTCTGAATAGCCAATTTTGGCATTGTGAAGGGAAAGGGTCAGATCACAAAATGATTAGATAGATCTTCTGCAACTCTAAAGAGATAAAAAAGTTTAAAACTAAGAACTTAATTCAACTTACAGAAACCTCAGAGTGAATGTCATTATCCTTTGCAATCGCATTTCTGAAGGTTTCATGCCTTTGATGAAAGGCATCAATGGTCTCTTGAAGGGCCTAAAATATAAATGAAATTCAAAGCACACATTAAAGAAAGTATCACATGACAATCATGAATACACTTTATCAAACAAATATCCATAATAGGAATCATCTTAAAATTAAATAAACTTGTTCTGATGATTATATATTTAAGTAACAGAATGATGCGCACAAATTAATGTATGCCTAGGTTGCCATAAAACAAAAATGAAAATAGAAATCAGGCTTACCTTGATCCATTCTTCTTTGTCTTGCTCGGAACTAAAACAAAACAAAATTAAAGTGAATGTGGAGAACATTAATTAATTACACCTGGTGAACAAAACTGCTTTCATGTTGTTGCAACTTCCTGGAAAATTCAAGAATGTCCTGAAAGGCATTACAATAATTACACAATGTTTGGCAACTGAGCAAATAAATTCTTCTGAGATACAGTATCAGACTACCTATTAATTTTGGTGACCATATATTTTGTTGGGGGCAGTTAGGTTAAGCTGCCATGCTATACTGCTCTGACATTGAGTGAAATACCCTCAGCTAATGGTRTTTATCAAGTGGCCCTATACATCTAACATACTGGACAAAGCAGCTAATCCTCCAATCTCCTAAAATACATGAAGGCTACTAGTCACAGCCCATCTCAGAAAAAAGATTGCAATTATCCTTGCATCTACAATTCATTACAGATAAACCAAAACAGATCAGCATTTTCAAYGCCTGCAGGAAGGAGGTTTCACAGATGAATGGCGCCAGGGCTTTATAATTTTCTTTATGGAAAAAAATTTCCTCTACTKTAGTTAAGTCCCCGTCATCCTGTTGAGTCAAGTTTTACTTCCTCTCCCCTATAAGTAGCTTATGTAGCTGGCTGACTATTGTCACATTATATTTGAAAAAACCCTTTCAGGAACTCTGAATGATCTCTAAATTTTGAAGAGTATCAAAGAGTGCCTGTTCATTTACCATGTTTGGTAGGCTAGAGCCAAGTGTGAGTTCCAACCTAATGTCACCTACCTCTTTCCAACAGGTATCCAATATGATTGAGATAACTGGAGGTTTGTTCCTGTGACACCATTCATCTATCCATTATTTATTATCTTTTTTTTTTTTTTGTACATGTGATATTGGGGATTGAGCCCAGGGCCTTGCACATGTGAGGCAATCACTTCACCACTGAACTATATTCTCATTTCTTTGTAAGAGAGGATTCTCACTAGATTGCTGAGGTTGACCTTAAACCTGCCAAATCTCCTGTCTCAGTCTCCTGAATCACTGAGATTACAGGTGTGGGCTACCATGYATGGCTCCAATATTTATTACTGAGTATCATAATGTGCAGGAATGTTGGYAGAATCTGTCAAATGGAAGATTCTGCTTATTGCCCACCTAGAGGCTTAAATCTGTTTCTCAAAAGCAAAAATATAAGCAACTCTCTATTGCTTTGCCCTGTCACCACAGCTCTCCTACCCTGGAAGCATAGTTATTTATTAGCTACTTTTAGTCTACTAAATGCAGACAAAGACACTTAACAAGAATTTAATGTCTTTTTTCTTACTTTTTTACTCTTGGCAAGTTTTTCTATTCCTTCAATTAATTTACTTATTACAATATTTTAAATTTCACTTCCAATAGAAAAGTATTGCACAAAAATTAGATAAAACATAATACTTGGGGTAGGGGTGTAGCTAAGTGGCAGAGTACTTGCCTAACGTGTGTAAAACCTTGGATTGGATCCCCAGCCCTGCCTCAAACAAAACAGAACCCTCACCACCACAAAACCCCAGAATACTTTTTATCTTTTTAAATGTGGAAGAGGAAGCATAAATGCAAGGGGTCAGTCCTGCAGTTGACTCATACCTTAGCAAGAAAAGGGGAACTCTTTTTTTCCCAGCTGGCTTCAGAAGCAAATTCTCTTTAAATATTTCCAAATATGTACCTAATTTTTTGATTTTTATTTTTGTAGTATAGGGGATTGAATCCARGACCACTCTATCACTGAGCCATATTCCCAGTCTTTTTCAACTTTTATCTTGAGACAGAGTCTTGATAAGTTGCCTAGACTAGTCTCAAATTTGCAATCCCCCTGCCTCAGCCTCCCAAGAGTTGCTGGTATTACAGGTGTGTGCCACCATGCCTGGCTTACACACCCGATTTTTTAACTTTTTCTTTCTTTCTTTCTTTCTTTTTTTTTTTTTGTGTTTGTGGTGCTGGGAATTTAACCCTCGGCCTCCTGCTTTCCAGGCAAGCACTCTACCACTGAGCCACATCCGTAGCCCTACACATTTACATGCAATTTTTAATTGCACATAAATCCCTCTGATACTCTTTTTGAACCCTCAATGTTTGTCTCTATTCTTGAGAGCCATTATAGATCAAATGGAAAGTAACCATTTAATCCAGATTTTTTATATTTTTATTTTTTTATAGTTATATTTGTGATACCACATTATCACAAATATAACTAGGGGAATAAGAAATTCTTAAATGAAGAATAACCATGTTTTTGATACTAATTGGAATGTTATAAAGTGATGATTGACTGTGCTTAAGAAAACTTCTCCCATCCTGGAAAGCAAATAGCCCAACTTGCTAATGGAGGGCTAACATCTCCTTGTAGGCATCCAGAAACCTTAGAAAATCTTTGCATTCTCTCCTCTRATGTAATACCTCTTGGGATTGTAGATTTGGAAGTATGCTGCGATTTTTTTTGCAGTCTTTTTTATTTTCTACTTTTTGAAATATGCAGCATCTTAATTCTTCTACAATTAAGACTTCTATGATGATCATAGAATTGACTAGTGCTCCCTATTGCCAGGGCCAATAACTCAGACACTGAGTGAGGCCTCACATCAAAAGCCTACCAACACAGCATCATACATTTTCCCATGAGTTTGGGTGGCTGAGGCCCAAATCCTACCATGAGGCAGGATAACCATGACCCTCAAAAGCCAAGCCCTCTACTTTTTAAACTCACTTGAAATGCTACCTGCTAATCTTCACAGTATCCCCTGACTGTTCCCTTATTAATGGGGTTTTCAATACAAATTCTTTGTGGGAAATCAAAGAATTGGCTGTTCCTTCAAACTTTCCCCGTTTGCTACACCTTCCATAGTGGTAATCTCACCAATTCTCAGACCTCCTGGGCACAGATTCTAGATAAAATGATATATTCTTGCCAGATGCAGTGGCACACACCTGTAATCCCAGTGACTCAGGAGGCTGAGACGGGAGGATCACGAGTTCAAAGCCAGCCTCAACAAAAGTGAGGCGCTAAGCAACTCCGTGAGACCCTGTCTCTAAATAAACTACAAAATAGGCCTGGGATTGTGGCTCAGTGGTCGAGTGCCCCTGAGTTCAATCCCCAGTACCAAATAAATAAATAAATAAATAAATAAATAAATATTTTTTTGTTGAAAGCTTGAATATTAAACTCCTATACAGTGATTATATGTAAATCAAGGTGAATTCACATGGGCAACCGGAACCACATGCTGTGTACAGAGGAACAGAAGGGCTCTCTGACTCTACATGGAATATTGGGCACCAACACAGTTAGAACTGGGATTGGTACTTTACATTCAGATCTGTGATCTTATGGAGTGTCCACATTTTCACCTTGCTAGGCCTTTGTAGGCTAAATGGAAAACTGTCTTCTAAAGCAGATTTATTTCACATCCTGACAGCACCTTGTCTTTCAGAGGTTCATGCATAAGGTAATCAGCTATGATTGCTGTGGTTTTCCTAGTTCTTCCTAGGAAAAGTTAGTTCAGAACTCCAATCCTTTCTCTCCTACTCAATAAGGTGCATAATTAGAGCCATATTCTCGAAGTTCTGATTGCCAAAGGACTCCTTCATGTATCTTACAACTGGCTGGGGCAGGGGATCATTACTTTGATTACCCTGTCAAACATTTCTTTCCATCAAAGTGCTCCTAGGTTCCAAGAATACAGAGCCCCTAAAGGACTCGGCAGTTTAGTATGGAATAGTCATCAAACAAATATTTGAGAAGCAAGAGGAGGAATAGAAGGCTGATTAGGGGAGAGCAATTTCTTCCAAGTGTCAAGACTCTGACAATGTGCAGCAAACTCATCTTCCTAGTACCTTGTTATTCTGAAGAGATAATCAACTGAGTGAATGCTTACTGACCTAGGCACCATGAGGAGAGGAAGTCATGATGTCTGTCCTTCAAGAGCTCCCAGCTCTCTATTTACATACGGTCAGATTCCCAGGGGTCTGTAGCACTCACTTGGGAAAAAGCCCTCAGCACTACTCTTGAGCTATAATTTACTCGTGATGTTTGGGATAAGCATTGGGACAGCAATGATTCTCTTACCTGGCCTGTAGTTCCAGTGTTCTCTCTTTTCCAGACACCTGGAATGTGTATGGATATTCTTCATTATGAGTCTCTACAATTTTCATTCCATCAATGCCAACCCTGGTCCGAACTGTGAATTTTGAGCCTACCAAGCTGAATCTGGGCACGCAGTACAGTAACATGTTGTTGAACTGCAAGAAACAGAATGTATATCAATACACAAGAAATAGAGAAAATAAGGAAAACTGACCATTTTTTTTTTTTTTTTTAGAGAGAAAGAGAGGGAGGGAGGGAGGGAGAGAACGGGCACGAAGAGAGAGGGAGGGAGAGAGAGAGAGTATTTTTTTTTAGTATTTATTTTTTAGTTTATTTTTTTAATATTTATTTTTTAGTTTTCGGCGAGCACAACATCTTTGTTTGTATGTGGTGCTGAAGATCGAACCCGGGCCACACGCATGCCAGGCGAGCGCACTACCGCTTGAGCCACATCCCCAGCCCCAAACTGACTGGACAGCAATTCCTTGGAATTCCAGGGAATATGGTACTTCCTACTTGAGGAAAATTTACCCCTACATTAAGATTTTTATGCTTCCATTAAAAAAAAAATCATACAATTTTTGAAATAGTTTCCTTTCATGATTCAAATATTTTACTAATATGTAAGTAAATMAATCACCTTTTTATACCACTGCTTTAAGAAAATTAGTTCAATAAGTCTGATAAAAATTTATTGAGGACCTTTGATATACTAGGAATTGAAGTTGTTATGTTTTTTTCTTTTGTTCCCATTTATTTATTTATGGTACCAGGGATTGAAGCAATGGATGCTTAACCACTGGGACATGTCCCCAACCCTTTATTTATTTATTTTGAGACAGGCCTCACTAAGTTGCTGAGGCTGGCTTTGAAATTGCAATCCTCCTGCCTCAGCCTCCCAAACTGCAGAGATTATAAGTGTGCGCCACCATGCCTGGCTTTTTTTTTTTYTGTAAATGGTATTGAGGATCTCCAGGGTCTCATGCCAGACAAGCTCTYTATCACTGAGCTATATTCCCCAATCTTTAACTGAAATTCTTTTTTAAAATTTATTTTATTTTTTGAAGTTCTTAACTTTGGAAGTTAAATTCCTGACCAGGTGCAATAGTATACACTGTATTCCCAGCTACTCAGGAGGCTGAGGCAGGAGGATCAGTGGTTGAGTACCCCTCAGTTCAGTCCCTGGTACTACAAAAAAAAAAAAAAAAAAAGAAAGAAAGAAAAGAGCTGGGAGAAGAGGTACACACCTGTAACCCCTGCTACTTAGGAGGCTGAGGCAGGAGAATTGCAATTTTGAGGCCAACCTTGCAACTTAGCAAGACCCTGTCTCAAAATAAAAACTAAAAAGGACTGGGGGATGTAGCTTAGTGGCAAAATGCCCCTGGATTCAATCCCCAGTATCAGAAAAAAGAAAAAAAAAAAGAGAGAAAAAAAAATCCTGATACATCAGCACAGACCTATGAATCCTTGAATCTTCAAAATTTATCACGTAAATTTACAGAAAAACCATCAGTTAGTATCAAGAGGTTTTTAAAGGCATGACCTTATTCTTGTCTTGATAAGGTGTACTTAAAAGAAAAAAAGAAAAGAAAGGTTTTTATTTTGAAACTGAATCAAAATTATTATGTACATTGCGCCTCATTTCTGGTCAACAATTAACAGTCCTTGCTAGGACCATGAACAATATAAGACTGACATAACAGAAACTGATTTTTTAATGACTTTGTGAAAGCATTTATTTCACTTTTTTGGTGAGAGGGGTACAGAGGATTGAACCCAGGGGTGCTTTACCACTGAGCTAAATTTCAAGCCTTTTTTATTTTGAGACAGGTTCTCACTAAGTTGTTCAGGCTGGCCTTGAATTTGTGATTCTCCTGCCTCAGCCTCCTCAGCTGCTGGGCATGTGCCGTCACGCCCAGCTTTTTCACTTTTGAATATGTTAAAGCATACAGAGAAATAAAACTCTATAAATACTTGGGATAATTTGTGGGCAGATTTCTAAGAACAGGTCCATACTTCTTACTTCATATTTGTTATTTAAATTGTTTCAAGGGTTACATATATTTTTCTTAGGCAAGAGTTACTAGGAACTAAAAATTATCTTTTGCATTTCCAACAGCATTTGCCCTAAATTCTAATAGATTTTTTTTTTCACATGCTTCATCAAGGTTTCTCAATTTGTTCTTTTTCAAATTTTCTCTAAAATTTTACTATAAGCCCTGACTTTACTGCTTAGGAGGTGTGTGAACCCTCATGCTGYGGGGTCATTATCTGCAAGTCACTGTTTGCTAAAAAGATTAAATGAGGAAACCAAATGGTAAGTATTTAGCATGGTACTTTGCACATACAAGTTACTTAAACAAGTTGTCTTATTTTATGCTCTTCTAGGATTTGATTCTCGAGCTTTCCTCCCAAACCCTCTGCTTGGCTCCATACTATGTTCTAAGAGGAGACACATCAATGGATATTTAAAGCATCAACATGTTTATGTGACACAGTCCATTGTGCTCATTCTGAAAGTATATTTCTCACCAGTTGTTTCTCGTTCATCATTTTGTAACTTCCTATAACCACTGTCATCATAAATTTCAGTTCCACACAGGGGAACATAGTATTAAAAGAGCATTAAATGCATTTGACATATATTCCAAGTATCATCTATATTTCTAGTAGAGGACATAAGCCTTTATCATTAACAGCTCACTAAGTGCTGAGTATGGCCACGACAGCCTCATTGTAGTAAGATAGAATTTGGAGATTTGAAAAATCTCCCAATGTTCTCATTGCCAATTCTGTATTGTAGCTTGACTAAGCCCATACCTTACTAATTTTCTGGGGAAGGGGTGGCATTGAGGATTGAACCCAGGGTGCTCTACCACTGAGCTACGTCTCAGTCCTTTTTGAGACGGGGCCTCTCTAAATTGCTGAGGCTGGCCTGGAATTTGCAGTCCTCCTGCCTCAACCTCCCAAATTGATGGGACTGCAGGCAWGCATAACCACATCTGGCCTGTTTGCTAACTTTTTGAGTTAACATTTCTTTCCCTCTCCCTTCCAATCCCCTCAGGAGATTTGGTTAAGACTGTATGTTGGAGGGGCTGCAGAGCCACCACCACAAGGACAGCTCACACTTAACCAAATTGTTTCTGAAAATGAAGTGACAAATGTAGTATTATAGCATAAAAGAGTCAAGTTACCTGATACTTGTGTTCAGGTTCGCTTTATAGTCTTGTTAGTTTATAGACGTATAAATACATGAATGTGGAGGATCTTAGCATTTGCCTTTGGTAGTTATTCTCATAAGATGACAGACAGATGTAAATATGTTTCTCTTTCCTTTTCATGCTTTCAGGACTACCTCCCTGAAACTCTTCCTTGGTAGGACTTCACAGTATAAATTGTAAATAACTACATATTATCCTTAAAGAACTCTGATCACAGTCTAATGCCGGTTAATAAATACCTTCTGTATTCACAGAGATGAAAGTGGGAGCTTTTACAGGATATAAAATATTGCCTCACAAAGATTAGGTGCCATATCTGTGAAAAACAAGGTAGCTGGTCCTGCTCCCTCTCTGAACCTTGCTCCTGTGGCAAAAGTCCTGTTACCACTACTAAGAGAATCTCTTGTCTCTGGGTTTCCCCTCATACTGAAAGAAGAAGTTGCAGCAGCCGTAGCACCAACAATGACTATTTTTTTTTTTCACTATAGGAGATTCACTTTCTTCCTATCCATACTTCAGAAGTGGTAATCAGCAAAGCACTGAGTGATGAGGCCATCTGTAGAAGTCCTAGGTTGTGACAAGACCTAGAAGCAAGTTCTCAATCTAATCTTTTAAAAAAAAGGGGYGCGGGGTTGGGGGGAGGAGTGGGCGTGGTGGCTCACGCCTGTAATCCCAGTGGCTCAGATGGCTGAGGCAGGAGGATGGTGAGTTCAAAGCCAGCCTCAGCAAAAGCAAGGCACTAAGCAACTCAGTGAGTCTCTGTCTCTAAATAAAATACAAAATAGTGCTGGGGATGTGGCTCAGTAGTTGACTGGCCCCGAGTTTAATCCCCAGTACCACAAAAGGGCGGGGTGATCTCCTCGCTTGATCTCTAGTGTGCAAGTATTTCTAACCTCTTACAATAAGTTCACTGAAATAATACAATTTCATTGTCTCATCAGTGATAATTTCATTGAAGTTTGTTTTAGAAGGTAAAAGAAGAGTGTTGGRGGAAATTTACAGTGACTGATCTGTATATTTAAAGTTTAAATAAGGAAAAAAAAAATTACCTAGCAAGCTCTAACAAGGAATAGAACAACTACAAAAGGCCAAGAATAAAAACACTTGGGTCATTTTGTAGATCCCAGATAAGGTGATTTTATTGTGTATGTGTTTAACTTCTTTTTTTTTTTTTTAAATTGGTTCTTTTTAGTTACGCAACAGAAGAATTCATTTTGATATAGTTGTACAAGTATGGAATATATCTTATTCTACTTAGGACCCCATTTTTGTGGGTGTACATGATGGTTCAAAATTCACTATGGTGTATCATGTAAGAACACAGAAAAATTATTTCTGATTCCTTCCACTGTCTTTCCTTTTCTTATCCCCGCTCCCTTCCCTTCATTCACTTTTGTCTAATCTACTGAGTATCTGTTCTTCCCTAGCTCCCTTGTTGTGGATTAGCTCCCACATATCAGTAGTGATCTAGTTAACAGAGTAACCTACAGCAACATAAAGAAGTGAAAATGTAGTGTGGAAGCAAGCAAATAGAAATGAGTAAGGAGCATTTGGATATGGAATCAGATTCTAAACATAGTTTGACTTTTAAGCCAAATTTAATATCCTGTAATAGGGAATCAAAAGCTTGCCTTCATTTTTCTCACTAGAGAGAAAAGAAAAGGAAAATGCTACTTTTGAAGTTTCCACTTATAGAAGAACAAGATGTTCCCTAGGAMTAAACACGACAAGCACAGTCTCAGAGAGTGGATTCAATGAATGAACCTACACAATATGTGATTCTAGAATGGCCTTCAAAACACATGGTTTCCTAAAATTCCTACTACATCACTCCACTCTCCTGGGAGGTAATGGTGTGGTATAGTTGACAGCCAATGGGAACTGGATCAAGATGGGTCTCTTCCTCAGTTGCTAACTGCCATATTCCCCCCATCCCCCACGCCCAAGGCTCCTGCCATCTCTCTTCCAAACAGCAGCTTAATTTGGCTTGGCATCAAGATCCTCGACCTCAAACTATTTCCAGRATAATTTTGAAATGTGAAAATTAAACCAAGACAATTGGTTAGACACAGAACTAAAAAGTCTAACTATAGAGACTGCAACCCTAATGAGGAAGAAGGAAAAGGACCTATAATGTAAAGACAGAGCAGACACTGATTCCTGGAGGATTTTACCCAGAAAATTATATTAAGCTGACTTTTGAATTCTATGATGTTGATGCCTGGACATCTTCATTCCTTGCTCATACTGAAGGGACTGACCCTCCCAGGTGACCCAGTTCCTAGAGACAGTCTAGGAGTCACCTGTGAGCATACTTTCTGGACGGGAGCAAACACCCTCAAACACCTCCTTCCTCATCAAGCCGTGCTGCTGATTCCACTGCCAGAATCACCCCCAAAGTCAGGCAGACAGCAGCCCCTATGCCCAGGAGCTCACTGCAGTTCAAACTCGCCCATCCCAAGCCTTTTACGGCCTTGCCCATCATCTCCTGTGGAAGCCACAAAGGCTCCTGCCCACCTTGTGCTTGTGCCCTCTGCCTCTTCACTGCTGTCCCTTCCCCATGGTAGGAATAGCACTCCTGTTGGGATCCTGTCTTTTCACCTCCTTACCATTCTTGAATAATAATATTTAGGTCTATTTAGTTCTCTGTATCACCTGGGAAAGGTGGTGTACTTCTCTTTAGCTCAAATAAGGACTTTATAGTTAGATGATATTCATACATTTTAAAAACAAAGAAAATTAATATACTACACAAATTTATCTTTTTTTTTTAAATTGTTTTTAGTATAGTAGTAAACCAACACTACTAGTTCTGGAACTCTAAAATGAAACCTTGTGCCCATTTCTCCTTCCCACCAGCCTTAGGCAACCACCAATTATGTAATTGRTGCATTTGCCTATTCTAGACATTTCATATCAATGGAATCAGAGTATGTGGCCTTTTGTGACTGACTTCTTTCATYTGACAGTTTTCAAGATTCATCCATGTCATATATCATCAGTACTACGATCCTTTTTATTGACATAAATTCTTTTTACTGACATCATAGGATAGCCCATTGCATAGACATACCACATTTTAACCATCCATCACTGATAAACATTTGGGATGCTCATGGTTTGGGGCTAAGATGAATAATGCCACTATGGATGTTGATACACAAGTTTTTGGGTGGACATGTGTTTTCAATTTCCTTGAGTTGAACAGACTTGGAGTGGAACAACTGGGTCACATGGTAGGCAAATGTTCTTTTTTTAAAAAAATGACTGAGAGATACTGAACATTCCTCTTCATGACAGCTTGTATAAGGTTTCTTTTCAAAGAAGGCTGGAAGCAGTAGATAGAAACTTCTCAGGCCTTAAGAACAACTCTGTGAAATGAATGCCTGGCAGCAGAAAAGTCTGCCAAGGCGGCCTCTTCACCAATGAGTCTTTGTTCTTTGCCTTTAATAACAATCATAATAAAGCTGGTTGACTGAGCCACTATTCAATGTGTGYTTGCTCTTTGTCAATGCTAGCCATTATGACCCTTATTTTATTAGATACAGAAAAGAATCAGAATTCACTAAGGTAACAAAGAAATACAGGTCACGTGGACAGAAACYTAAAATAATAATAATAATGGCCTGGATGCCCCAGAAAGAATAGTACATTTGAGATAAGCCCCAGACTAATTGTCATTTCCAGGAAGTGAAGGAAGGGACAAGGACTGGTAATGGTGAAAAGGAACTGTGTAGCAATCACACTTTCCCTATAAATACTTTAGACATAGCCTTACAATCTTCAGTTTTTTTACTCTAGAATGATTAAAAAAGTAATTACAGATGATTAGGAGAACTGCAGTCAGGAAATAGTATGGCAACAAAATACTCAGGAAATGGTGCCTATTATGTTGAAAATGAAAGGAAACAAGTAGATAAGGAGGATTTCAGAAAGATTACCATACCCTGCATATGCACTATTAGCATTATCATGGAATTCAAGGCTAAATTGTCTTCAATATGCCCTACTGAAGTAAATTATACCCATAAAGTAAACCAAAAATAGTTAAATTTTAGTTACTTAGACTATTCCGTCATTCAAACTCCTAATAGTGTTTACTAAATCAAAGCAGATGTAATTAAAATATATATATATATATTTAAAAAATATATATATTTTTAAAACATTTTATTTTTATGTGGTGCTGAGGATCAAACCCAGGGTCCTGCACGTGCTAGGCGAGCACTCTACCACTGAGCCCCAACCCCAGCCCTAAAAATATTTTTTATTTTATTTCTTTGTGGTGCTGGGGATTGAACCCAGGGCCTTGTACATGCAAGGCAAGCACTCCACCAACTGAGCTATATCCCCAGCCTCAGATGTAATTATTTTGGGGAGCAAGCAAATAAGCATTGTACTTTTCCAAGATGTAAACAACAATTTTTCTTTTTGTAAATTATTCCTTTTKGGTAAATTTTTCTTATGTATTTTGCCAACACTAGAATACTCACTAAGAAAAGATAGCGTTCTTGTGCTGACGTGTTCCGTGCAGCTAGCTTGAGGATCTGTCCTTCTTTTATGAGTTCATTGGAAGGGTTTACAATGTCTTCTTCTTCTCCCAACATTTCATAAATCTCCAAGAGTTTCTTTAGGTTCTCCTGGGAAATTAAAACAAAATACAGCAAGATCAAATATAGGAGGTGTCAATTAAGTGACATGAATAATAATACCATGACCTTAACTAAAATCTGCATCATTTAGAAGGGATTGGGAGTGAATGTATTTTTTTGGTATAAAAATGTATCCGTAAATTGAAACCTGAGAGAATAGGGGAGAGGGTTACTCCAGGAAAAATGAGACATTTTGCAAATGTTTTTTCTTGTTTACCTCTATCTGTTCACTTTGGTCCAAACCTACAGATAGTATTAGACTATGTTATGATAATTATCTAACCATAAAGTTCCTGTCTCCTCTAAAAACCACTTACCATTTTTCTTATTGCACTATTAGAATGGCTTGCTGCTGTAGATATAATTTCAAGTGATTCTAAATGGGAAAAAAAGAAAAGTAAATAAATATGTTTTGTCCTTCCTGGGCTACTATATAATTGAATAATTTACATACTTAAATAAGAAATCTGAGACCAAAAAACACAATGAAAGTAGCAGCAATTTCCACTTAYAAACTGTATACCTTCAAAACTTAATTTGTAAGCAGACTAACTAAACTCAAAGGGCACTTCCTTGTATAAAGTCATGTACGATGATGAGGCTCACAGGTATATTGAGTTCATATAGACCATGAAAAGTCAATAAGCATTTACAGCGTACACTAATTAGATTCAAGGAACTTTGTCAGGTGCTTTCATACACAGGTAGTCCTTCTATTTTTTACTACAGTCTGAAAATATTACATRGAAAATTCCAGAAATCAAACAATAAGTTTTAAATAAGTTTTATTACAGTGTACTATTATAATTGCTATATATTATTATTTGTTAATCTCTTTACTGTACCTAATTTATAAGCTAAATTTAAACATAGGTATGTAGGTATAAGGGGGAAAAACCCAGTACTGAACCCTATGTTTAAGACTGTGGTTTTAGGTTTCTGTGGAACATCTTGGAAGGTATCCCCTGCAGGTAAGAGAGGACTACTGTAATCAATTCTTATGTCATTAAAACAGCCTTGAACAGTAAATATATTTGTTCCATATAAAAGAAATGAGGAAGAGATGTGACTTGGCTAAGGTCACACAACTCTGAGGTTGAAGGCCAGATCTGAAACTGGGTCTTCTGACTCAAAGTTCTACAACATTTCAACAGGAAGTATTTTACTAGTTTTGTAAGCAAATGAACCACTAAGCACAATAAAACTTTCTCTGTGAAAATGCACTCAGAATTCTAGCCTAGGTCTGATGAAAGGGAGTCTTCTAGAGTCAGTATTGTTTCTGGGGTGGGTGTTAGTGAGAACTCTCTGATATGGACATTGTAGGAGCTCTGGGGCTGAGAATGAAGACCTGTGAATGCTGAGGGCCTGCTGGATCAACCCCAGGGAATACTTTTCAATCCGCTGGATCAACCCCAGGGAATACTTTTCAATCCTAAGTCATGTTCTGTTCTCTTCCCTTCTTTTCTGTCTTGTGAATGCTGGCCTGCTCAATTCTGTTACCGCAGCAACCCCCTCCCTTCTGGACTACATTTTCCATCTTCTTTGCTCTGCTGAACAGAATGCACTTTTGTCACTTCCCTTTCCACTTTTAGGTCTAAAAGTCCTTCTTCTGTGATTTCCTTAGAATTTAATTGTAACTATTAATGCAAAGCCAAAACAAGTAATGAAATGCCCTACTATGGTCCCACAACTTTCTTGCTTTTGACATGGGTATCTTAGGCAAAGACCGTCTTTGAATATAGAAGACACTGCGTTTTATTTACCTGTTTGAGAGTTCTTTACAGATTTGGGCAATTCTGTGCACCTGAGATAGGAACCAGGTTAGAGGGAGCCAAAGTAAGATGGAGTGGGGCCACTGCTCAAGAGATGAGTTCCAGGAAGAGCAAGTGATTCCACCTCCAATCCACCACTGGCTCTGCCACTGGAACCCAGCACTTGAGCCAGATGGACAAAAAATGGGGGTGAGGCACAGTTCCTGGGGAGTACYGGGCTGGAAGAAGATGGTGAGCCAAAATCAAGCTAAACTACAAAAAGGGTAAATGGAAAGAGAAGTTTCACAGGTCACTTGGGTGGTATGAGGAACATATAAGAGGCAGTTTATGTTCAAGAAAAGACTCAGGCTCCAGGGTCAAAGATGTTTTATGTTCTTCTTTTTTCATACCGTGGTGGTCCCCTTATAATAGAGGGCAAGAAATTAGAAAAGGAAATTGTGGCATGAGTATCGTCAGTGCTTACTAAATATCAAGCCATTTTGATTCCTTAAATTTTCATCTCTTAACAGTTGAATGATTTTTCAAACTGTGCCAGAGGGCTAGGGATGTGCCTCAGTGATACAGCATGTGCTCAGCATGTGATTCGAAAGGACCCAAGGTCAATCCCCTGCACGGAGGTACAAAACCACATACACAGAAACTGCACAAGAAACCTGAAGTATTAGCAGAATTTATGAATCTTAAAAACAAAACAACAAAAAAAACCTTTCATTTTAATCTAATGAAAGAATCAAAAACAACTAAAAGAACTGGAATAAAGTTGTCTTGAGGAAAAAGTTAATAGACAATTAAAAACACCATTTCCCATTGTATCTTGGGTAGGTGAGGCCAACAGTGCTTAGGTTATTTTTACATATTAAATGCCATCTTGGTATTCTTGGTATGCATTGACCTATCTAATTAAACAGCAGCACTTGTAATTTCAAATGGCTGTGTTCTTCCTGTGAGATGGTAATTGTGTATTGCTATTCCGGATGTCTCTAAGACTATAGTTTTATATTTCACAGTTAGTGATTAAAGTGAATCCAGAGTGGTAAATGTGATTTGCATTGCTTTAAACTTGTGATTTGGGCTCAAAACTGCCTTGCCTTATGGAGGCATTGATAATTTCCAGTGAGACTGTTTTCTGACAGCAATATTTGGCTACAGTAGCTAGCTGTGAGATGCATCTCACTTTGAAACAGGCTGCACGGTCACTTGATTATCTGATAATGGAGAAGAAAAAAAAATTTAAAAACCATTTACTTTTTGCATCATTCCAGTCCGGGGAATCGGGGGGCAATTTCCTTAGGTAGTCCTTAAGGAGCATCTCATACCGAGGAATCCGCTGAACAGGTTCCAGCATGTGATGCTGCAAAGTTAAGCTCCCACAGATCTTCTGTTTCTGTTTTTAAAGAAACATTTAAAAATTAGGTTAGGCAATCTAAAAACTCACTATAATAACTTCCATCAACTATATTAAATATATTAAGGTTTTATTTTATTTTATTTTATTTTATTTTTGTGTGTATGGTGCTGAGAATCAAATCCAGGGCCTTGTACTTGCTGGGCAATGAACCACATCCATAGTCCCCTGGGTTGCTTTTAAAAATGCAGACACACAAACTCCCATCTATAAAATCATAATTTTAGAGGGAAGAAGCTATAGAATATGCATTTTAAAACACTGCATATAAAAATCTAAGGCCCACTAATCTAGTATAAGATCAGAAAGGGACAAAAAAAAAATCATGCAGAATTTTTTTTTGGTGCTGGGGATTGAACCTGAGGCCTTGTGCGTGTGAGGCAAGCACTCAATTGACWGAGCTATATCCCYAGCACCCAGTCGAGCAGAATTTTAAGCCAGAAAATTCCAGATAGCTGGCAACCACTTCAATTAGTTACTACTAGGGTTTCTGAAGTSACATTATTAAGTCATTCTACAGAGATTTTTCAAAAGATGCACCTGTATAATGAGATTCACTAACCACAAGTACATTAAATGTCTTTGGACTTGGCTGAAACTATTTCATAAATTTCATAATGAGGCTATCATAAATGGCATTTCCTTTGAAGAAAAAAAAAAAAAACCTCTAGGAGAATGACAAGATCTGGCATCTTGCTATCTGTTGGAACATTTTAATTTTTCATTAGGTCAAGGCATTCTTCATCATTAGAAACTAAACTCCATTTCTTAGGGCAAAATTAARTCTATTTCACTTGCTTGCAATAGGTTGTTAACAAGAGAAGGAAAACATTCCACAAAGAAGAAACCCCCATTAAAATACTGAACATCTACATGGTCAAGGCACTGCAGGATAAGAMAGCTGTATTAGGCCCTGGTGTTTTCATTCAAAGCAAACAAGTAACTCAAAGCCTCACAGGGAATGGAGCATTTAGCACCAACTCTGAGTGCAGGCTTTGGTGGGGAGGCAAGTGAGGAAGACTAGTCTAGGGAGAAAACCTGTGCAAGGTAGCGGTACATGAAACATCTTCCTTCAGTAAAGGAGAGCAGTTGGGATTTTGTGGAAAATAAGCATGAGAAAATAGGGTATGAAGAAGAAAAGGCAATATGAGATAATACTATCAGAACTTCCAGAGTTTAGATGTGCTTCATCTAATACAGATTTTTGCACATGGGAGGGATTATCATTAGATCTGATTACCCTTCTTCAGGATGGCTTTACGGGGATGTGGGGAAACCAGCTTGGAAGTTGATGTTGTAGACAAGGAAGAAAGTTAATCAGGGCCCGAAATTGGCATGAAACCTGGGGGAGTAATAGCTTTCTTGTAAGATATTAATTTTACAAGTTTAATGATCTCATTTGATTTCCCCTAACAGATCTATATATCCATACCTTTATCTCTAGGAAAATATGAATGGTGTCAAAATTTTTACATGAAGAAACTGTAGCTCAGAGAAATTAGGAGAGTGTTCTAAGGTCAAACGGTTAAAAGTAGCAGACTAAACTATAAATGAGGCTTACTGTCAGTATACTACTCTTTCCATTGTCATGCCATTTCTTCATATTTGGTGAAGACAGACACTGCAAAGGTAGAATTTAAAGTAACTACCATCCTTAACTGAGTAATTACTATGCAACAAGCACTATGCTAAGCACCTTGAACGCACTATCTCAGAGGCAAATGAATACACACAGGAGGAGGAAAAATGACAGGTCACAGCTGAGGCCAAACTGTCAAGCTCTGGTGAATGAGAGAACAGTTGTGTTGTCAAATCTAATCACCTGTCAGAATTATWATCTACTTTGTGCAAGGCATTAAAAAGTCAGATGGAAAGAAATGCTTGGGAGCTAACTATAGAACAYGTTGACTTAATTTATTTACKTATTAGTTATAATCAGTTATACATGACAGTAGAAAGCTCTTCAATTCATTGTACACAAATGGGGCAGAATTTTTCACTCCTCTGGTTGTATGTGAAGCAGTCACACCATTCATGCAATCATACATGTATCTAGGTTAATGATGTCTGTCTCATTCCACTCTCTTTCTTACCTCTTTGCCCCCTCCTCACCTCTCCTCTTTTCCCTATTTAAAGTTTTTTTTTTTTTTTGAGAATTTTTARTATTTATTTTTTAGTTCTCGGCGGACACAACATCTTTGTTGGTATGTGGTGCTAAGGATCGAACCCGGGCCGCACGCATGCCAGGCGAGCGCGCTACCGCTTGAGCCACATCCCCAGCCCCCTATTTAAAGTTTTTGACAGGACCTTCATGTGGAATTGTACAAGCACACAGCACTCGGCCATTAGTAACTAGAGACTGGGGACAGAGGACTAGACTAAGGCATGTGGAAGTAGGATGTCACTGAGAGTGTGAAGACAGACTGCAGAAGACAGACCTTAGGCTCTGCTCACTTTTTAGTACTGCAAGAAGGGCTGGTAAACGATTCAAAGAAGCTAGTGTTCAGAGAGGTACATGAGTATTTAATCTTGAGAAAAGAGATGCTGATAAAAAGAGCAGAGGGGAAGCCGCAGGACTCCAGACTGAGTAAGGAGACTGGTAAAACCTCCCTATCAAAAGCAACTGCTGGGGTTGGGGGCTGTGGCTCAGTGGTARAGCGCTTGCCTAGCCCATGTAAGGCACTGGGTTTGATCCTCAGCACTGCCTAAAAATAAATAAATAAAACAAAGGTATTATGCCTATCTACAACTAAAAAGAAAAAAAAATTAAAAGAAAAAAAAATTGACAAACAACTATTTCAGCATWTTTAGAAGTTGCTCTAAGGCATACAACAATCTGGAAAGCATTTATGCCTTAACAACTGTTGAACTTTGAGAAAGAATAGTGAGAATCTATGGCATTTGAGMCCGGGGCTGCTCCTGTCCTTTCAACTCCATCCTGTGTTGCCAGGGCAGTAAGGCTGTGAGGACCAGCAGCTTCCCTCCTGATGCTCGGAAGGTTCAATATGGAGTGGTGCACAATGCACACGCCCAGCAGCATGCTCAGTAGAAGTGAGGATCTCTGGGGTGGAGGAGTGGAGGGTCCAGTGGCTCTACTAGCCAAAAGTAATAGCTGTGGATGGACTAATCACATTCAAGGCTGAGACTGGAGAGAGCCCAAGTCAGGATACTCACCTGACCACCCTGAGGCTTTGYACACATGGATACAAAGTTTTAAAGAGCCCAGTAGACTTGACAACTACCCAATCTTTAAATGGGTCCCCTTATTCACAGCCAGGCCCATAAACTGAACACGACCTTTCTGGCTCCAGGTAACCAAACACCTCTGTCCAAGAGCTGTTTGTACCCTAACCAACACAGACATATGGGTAATCTGCAGAAAACCAGGCTCACAAACACAGACATGCCAACAAACAGCTTGAAGGCAGACATCAGGGACTGCATAGCAGAGGAGTAACAGGTTTCATCCATTTTGTGTAAGTTAGTTACTAAACAAAGAAGCAAACAAACAAAAAATAATGACAACCACTTTCAGTGGAGAAATCAAAACCCAGAGTTGACATGATTTTGGATTATCTGAAATATCCAATATCCAGAAAAAATATAGACAAAGAAAAAGTAAAGTATGACCTATAAAAGAGACAAAATGGAAACCAACAAAAATGGTGTGAGTACCTTTAGAAGTTAATGTGGCAGACAGAGACTTCAACGTATGTTCAAGGAAATGAAATGACGTTTGAAGAATTCAAGGAAAGTATGAAAAAAATGAATGTACAAATGACAATTTTCAAGGAGGAGTCAGACATAATTAAAAAGAGAGAAGAACCGAATGGAAATTCTGGAGTTGAAAAGTACAATAACTAAAAGAGAAATTCACTATAAGCATTGGACAGTATAAGGGTCCGGCGAATGTCAGAGGAAGAGACCACCAAGAGACTGGCTCATGCAATCAGCAAAAGGGGATTTATTGAGAATCCAGCATGCTGGGGCTCTGTGCTCACTCAAGAAGGGAGAGCAGCCCAGAGCCCAGAGCAGAGGTTAAGCAGTGCTTAAGTACACTTTTTGGGGAGGGCGGGGGCTTTGCATACATCAGAACAAATCATCATGAGGCGCAGGAAAATTGAACAACAACTCTCATACATGATTAGCACATTCATTGGTGGGAATAGGTCGGGCGGGGGTGATTGGTCATTCCTAAGGAGGGGATACATTCAAAATGATTGGTTTGGGCCCTGAATGCCTACGTGCCAAACTGCACAGGGTCCTAGGTTATTAAACAACTAAGTGGTCAGCACCGGGCATTGTCTTAACTGCCTCAGGAATTTCAGGTTCTGTGTGCAGTTCAGAAACTTTACAATACCTAGTCCTTTACTTTTTAACTCAGGCTTTGCAGCTTAGAAACTTTACCCTTTCATACAGCAGAATCTGAGATGACAAAACAATTAGGGAACTTGAAGAAAAACTAATAAAAATCATACAATTTGAAGAACAGAGAAGAAAAGATTAAAGATAAGTAAACACTTTCATAAACTTGTGGGATAACATCAAGAATAGCAGCATTTATGTAACAGGATTAAAACAAAACAACAACAACAAAAAAACTTAAAGAAATAATGGCCAAAAACTCCTAAAAATGATTTTTAAAATATTAATCTAGAAATGCAAGAAGATCAACCAGCTCAATACAAATACAAAAAGATCCCCACACAGGCACATCCTATTCCAACTATTGAAAGCCAGCAACAAATAACAACTCTTGAAAGCAGGAAGAGAAAAATGATTAATCACACACAGAAAAGTACTGATAAAATTAATGACTGGTGGAGGAAAGAAAGCAGTGAGAGTGACCATGTTCAAAGTGCAGAGGGGACCCATCAGTTAAGAATTCCGTCACTCCTTGGAATACCCAAAGGACTTAAAATCAGCATACCACAGTGAYGCAGCCACATCAATGTTTAAGCAGTTCAATTCACRATAGCTAAGCTATGGAAACAACCTAATGACCTTCAACAGATGAACGGATAAAGAAAATGTGGTATGTATACACAATGGAAATATTACCTAGCTATAAAGAAAAATAAAATTATGGCATTTACTGATTAATGGATGAAACTAGAGACTATCATGCTAAATGAAATAAGCCAATCCCAAAAGATCAGAGGCTGCTCTGAATGCAGATGCTAATTCACAATAAGGGTGAAGGATAGAAGTTCACTGGATTAGACAAAGGAGAATGAAGGGAAGGGAGAAGGGATGTGAATAGGAAAGATAGTAGAATGAATCAGACATAACTTTCCTGTGTTCCTATCTGAAAATATGACCAGTGAAACTCCATATCATGTACAACTACAAAAATGGGAAGCTATACTCCACAAATAATATGTCAATATATTCTACTGTCATGTATAACCAACAAGAACAAATTAAAATTTTTTTAAAAATTCGATTTTACAAAAACAAACAAACAAAAAGAATTTGGTATCTAGTAAAAGTATCATTCAAAAGTGAGGGGGGGGGTGGAGAATATGCCTGTATAAAAATAATGACTGACAGATTTCATTGTTAGCTGATCTACCTTAAAGGAAACAACAGTCATTTTTATACTGAAAGAAAATTACTCCAGAAATGGCAAATACATGGTTGAATATAAATGTTTTATAAATATATTTTTATATCCTCCCTTAACTTTTTAATATACATAAAATTTTGTAAAAGAATTATAAATTATAAAACATCACTATATTGTCAGATTTAAAACACACAAAAGGGGCTGGGATGTGGCTCAAGCGGTAGCGCGCTCGCCTGGCATGCGTGCGGCCCGGGTTCGATCCTCAGCACCACATACCAACAAAGATGTTGTGTCCGCCGAGAACTAGAAAATAAATATTAAAAATTCTCTCTCTCTCTCTCCTTTCTCACTCTCTCTTTAAAAAAAAAAAAACACACAAAAAATGTAATATATATATAACACTAATAGCACAGCATGGAGAAAGAGCTGTATTAGAGCAAAGTGTCAGAGAATATAATATGAGGTAGGCTGTGATAAATGCATACATATTATAATCCCAAGAGCAGTTTCTGGAAAGTAACTAAGAGTAGTTTAAAAGTAAGGATTATTAAGATGGTGCCATTATTTATATAATACAACAGAAGGCAAAGAGCCATAAAATCCCAATCCCAAGATCGTTATGTGATGGAGAAAATGCCTTTTCAACTTAACAACTCTTTCAAAGAGTAAGTTATTAACAATTTTGACTAGAATATCAAAAGAAAATTACTATGGAATTATTAAAATGTATTATCCAGATTTGGTAGAATAGAAGAAAATCAGTATAAAGTGACCTAAAAATATTATTGTTATTCCAAAAACTCAAGGTTCATAGCAATCATTGTTTATATTTATATTCCATCCAACATGTGAAGCTCTGAAACTCGCAAAGAGGAAATTTGCTCTGCAAATTTATGTGAACCCTAATGCAGTCAGTCTCTGGTCTCATAAACAAATGGAGAATTTAGCACTTAGTATGTGGCCTGTGCCCAACAGGTATTTTAACTTCTTAGAGATATCTTTGCATAATTCAGTAGAATGGGTATCTCAGACAAATTTAGATCAGCAATCTTAGATCTAGAAGACCATATAACTTTGATAGAAAAATTAATTYGTAACTTTGAACAAAACCGTCCTGTTACCTGAATTTCTTCAATCACTGATTTGAACTGGGGAACTCGTTCTGTCATGTTTTTGACCAATTCCATTGCATTATCAAATCCCTTCACATATTCTCCATACATCTTAAGGAATGGCGCCAATTTCTGAAGGATGTCTCCAATCCGAGGAGTGGTTTCCCTGGATCAAATAAAGAAATAAAGCCTTAAGTTTTTCTGTAGAACAAGCCAATTCACAGACTGCAGATGAAGTCTTCACTTTCTACACACACTCTGTGCTTCCTCAGATCCATCTTGCTGTGAGACTGGTAGAAAATAAAGAAGCTCTTTTTCCAAGGCAGTTGAGGAATGCCATAGTAAAGAGAGATGCTATGGCATTCTTGAAGGCCCAGATTACCCCTGATATCTTGTCTTTACTAGTCAAGAATTGGAGTGCAGAGATAAAATGCTTTTCAGATTCAGCTGAAAACGTAGCACAACTTCTTAGTCTTTAATGTAAAAAGTTGGCACAATGTCTAGCTAGAGCTGTGTGTGGCATTTCTATTTGAACTGAAAAGCTGAACAATACAGCACATTGTATGACTGCCTTAGACATATCGTTTCTGTCTACTCCTCTTACCATTCTTGCATTCGTTTCTCCAGCTCTGGCAAGAGGAATTTACTATGGAAGGCATTTATTGATGAAATGTTAGAAAAGATTTTATTCACCATCTCTGCTGGAAATGAACCTCGGTTTGCTTCTTCCAATAGTTTGCAATAAAATACCTGAGTAAAAGAATAAAGCAAATATTACTTCACTTTGTGGGTTAACCAACTAGCACTGTGCTAGGCCTGTAGCAGGACTTTTATAGCATTTTATTGAATAAATGGAGAAGTTCATGATTCAAGAAGTCAATTGTTTGAAATGTAGTAAGGATATATACTCTGATTTGGAAGAACCACAAATAAGAATTAGGATGCTTGATTTTTAACCTACACGCGGCTCCTATCTGTGGGATGCTAATAATATACCTTTCTGTGCCAGAGAAAATCCAAYTGAGGTTAATAGGATTTACCCTTCCTACCTACAGCCAGAGTTAAGGGATGTGAAAGTACTTTACATGCACACAGTAACTGTGGTGTTTCATTTCCGTTTATGTTTTGAATGACTTCTCCAGCACTTATTACATATTGCCCTTTATTGAAATTGGTTGACTTAAATCTTATTTTTCCTTATTAAAATYTATGTATCTTGAGAAGGGAGGATACAAGATTTAGTTCCCACAACAGGCCAATGAGTGAACAAAAGTTCATTTCAGTTCTCAAATGTTTATTTGCTTTTTAGTGAACAATAAAACATGAAAACTTAAAACACTGATGGGGTGTTGTGGGGGATCTTCTATACAGAGTAACAAGTCCCTTAGAGACAATTAAGAAAAAAAAATAATAAGGAAAAAAGAACCACCTTGAGCCTTAGCTATTCTCCACTAGGTCTACTATACCTCTTCATTGCCAATCTGTTAAATGTAGGCAGAAGGAGATCTGTTCCTTCATAATGTCCAGATGGTTGTTAATGTTCTAAATTCACCTCCACTGCATTTTCTTGGGAGGCAAAAAGAACACAAAATTATGTCCTTAGAGATACCAATAGGTAGGATACTATAATAATTAATACTAAGATTCTAAAAGGTCAGCAACTGTAGCTAAGTTAATTTGGCTTAAGATCAAGAAAGAAAAGAAAGAGAAAGAAAAAGAAAGAAAGAAAACTTGCTAAGAGGAAAAGACATATCTTTACTATAAGCACCTAAATGTTCCAAGGTCTATAATTCCTGCAAGGAAAACAAGTTGCTCGAAAGGCCCAAGCTCCTCATAAATTGATTTTGTTTTATGGTGAAATTTCTTAAAAAGTGAGTATTTGAGCTGTACACTATTTTAAATAGTAGAGTATATTAACCTCACTATTTGAAATAGAGAAGTTCTAGTTGAGGTTTTATTTTATAGTGAGGTCATATAAGCTGGCACCTCAAGGCTCACTGCACCAGGCACATAGATCACTCTAGACAACAAGGATAAGGTGTGCCAGGACAGTCTGTTTCCATGAAATTCCAATTTTCCAGTGGCAGAAGTGGGTTAATTCTTACAACTAACACTCAAACAGGGTAGCTTTAACAAGAGGAATTTATTTGCAGACAATCTATTAAATGTCATGTCTTTTATACCTAATGTAGGATTATGATGCATTAATTTCCAATAGTTATCTTATAATGCATTTAAAAACTTCCCTAATAATATATTTGAAATCATATAAGGCTCCCCCATGATGAAAATACAAAATGTGATTAAGTTGATCCACATATTCTGCAAATATTTGCTGGATGACTTTATGTCAGTTACTACTACAAGTATCTTATACAAGGTTGAACAATTAAACTCAAAATCCTATAACTACACCAACTAAGATCACTCTCARATTTGTTTCTGCTAAACAGAAACAATTCAAACACAATCACATATATTCATGTTAGCGTTATAACCACCAATATCTTAGATTATAATAGTAATATGGCTCCCCAGTCAGGATCAGAGTAAAGATAAAAAAAAAAAAAAACAAAAAAACAAAAACAGGCTAATGTTTAACACTGTGGGACACAGATAAAGTCATTTTGTGATTTGCACAGAAAGAAATCTCTACTTTTGTGAATTATAAAATATTCATACCCAGTGAATTCACCAATAATGTTGAAAGTGCTAAAGATTTCCTTGAACAAATAGCTTTCACTGGCTAAAAACAAGCCCACTTTGCAGTTTCTATAACACTTTAATTATTAGGTTTAAATGATGTACAATGCGGAGACATAAAATGATTCTGAAAGGGAAAACATTACCTGATCTAAGAGGTCAAGTCGGTTGACGTAAGCTCTCTCTGTAAGCAAAAGTTCATTGGCTATTTTGTGAAGTTTTTGTTCATTAGTTTCCTAAAAATAGAGCAGATAATCACACGTCAGGAAATGAACCCTGGACAATATTTCTCAAGTAATAAACACCTCTCCTCTAATGGTTTGATCAAAGCAGTTTGCTCAAGTTTCTCAGGTCCTCAATTCCTGTCAGCCGACAAGACAGAAATGTCTATCTGTTCATCCAGACAGAAATGAACAAAATTAGAACCAAGCAAGCAATTAGGTTGGAACTACAGCTTCTTTAACTTCTGTAGCAGCAGTCAACACTACCATTTGCCTTTTCCTCGAAACATCATTTCCTTTTCTTAGCACTACACTTAACTCATTTTCACCTACCTCTCAGGCTATTCTTTGGAAATGATTTCATTACACTCTCTGATGTSTTGTCTAACTATTGACTCTATGCACAAAACATTTTGCCTTTAAAAAATACTTTAGGTAGTAGAGGATAGGAAAGGCAGCAGAATACAACAGACATGAGTATGTCAATAAGAAAATCAATGGAAGTGTAACTGATGTGATTCTGCAATCTGTATAYGGGGTAAAAATGGGAGTTCATAACCCACTTGAATCAAAGTATGAAATATGATCTATCAAGAACTATGTAATGTTTTGAACAACCAATTAAAAAAATACTTTAGGGGGCTGGGGCTATAGCTCAGTGGCAGAGCACTTGCCTTGCACGTGTGAGGCATTGGGTTTAATCTTCAGCACCACATAAAAATAAACAAATAAAATAAAGGTATTCTGTCCATCAATAAGAAAATACTTTAGGAAAATTTCAATTATGTCTAGTAGTAAAGWAAACAGTAGATGAACTGTATGTGTCCCTTGCTGAGATTTGTAGATATCAACTCATTGTTAATGTCTATGTTTTACCTGTGTCCTCCCTCACCTCATTCTACTCCATTATTATTTCTTTCCTTCCATCTCCCCACTTTTGTGGTATTGGGAATTGAAATCAGGGCCTTAAGCATAATAGGCTAGTACTCTACTACTGAGCTGCAACCCCAGACTTTTTTTTATTTTAAGACAGGGTCTCACTAAGTTCCTAAGGCTGGCCTTGAACTTGTGATCCTCCTGTTTCAGCCTCTCAAGTAGCTCAGATTATAGGCATGTGTCACCATATGCAGCTCCACCTACATTGTTTTCAACTAAATTCCACTTTATTATTTCCTCAGTTTGTTTGTACTTAACCCTCAGATATATTTGTACAACCTTGCTTGTTTCATAATTCTAGGGACWTTTTTTTTCCAACCAACAATGCTGRTATTTTGCCCTAAATTTACTGAATTAATCAACTGAGGAATTTACTGAGTTGACTAATTGAGGAAATGATGACTATATAGTTCTTATTTCAATTTTTTGAGACCACAGATTATTTACACATTATAGACTTCACATAAAAACACCTTATTCCAATGCTTCTGTAATAAGCAACWTAATTTTGCACATTGGAATGAATATTACACCGAGAGCATAAAGTACAGGGCCTCCAAAATGCTAGGCAAGCATTCTACCACTAAGCTACCTTCTCAGACCTATAGAAATATTTCTATCTTAGTTGCTCTAGCTCCTGTGTTTACTACAATGCCTCCCTGAAAACACTGACATTCAATAAAATATTGCTGGGTGAGTGAAGGAGTACTAGCCACACATATTAACCACTTTGTCCATCTATTAGTACTTTGATGCCATGTCAAACTCATTTTTTTTTTTTTTTTTGGAGAACCTCTCCCTCACTACCAAACCCCAAAGTTTCCCGTTCTAGTAATGGTCCTATCCCTTTCCAATTATCTGGCTTAGGAAGCTTGAATTATTTTATTTTTGGATCCCTCCCGTGGAATTAGACAGCCACCAAGTCCTACTCAGGATATGTCTCCAGCATTTACCCTTTAAGTTTTCATCACTGCCACCCTGTTTTGCACATATCATGTTATGCCCAGACCAATCAAGTTTCCAARTGATCTAATTCCAAAATTTGTTTCCTTACCGGCCCCCACCCTGTATATGGCTATATGAGTAATTGGTCTAAAGGTTTGCTTTGCACACATAATCCTACTTCCCATAGAAACAAAAGCTATCAGTATCCTTCCTCTAACTCAAAAAATAAAATCCACACTCTGTGTACCATTTAGGGTAATTTAAACCTCTACTTACTTCCTCAAACTCATTTCTCACTCTATCTTTAAAGGCCTTTTTCCCTCCAAACATATCAACTGAAGACATTTCATCATTATTCAAGTATGTCTCTGGCCATCTCTGCRCCTTTCTTCTTTCCATCCTCTCTGCCTGGCATGCGCTCTTACTGTATGTYTCTACAGTCTAAGACTGACTTTTCCTTTGACAGCTGAATTTCTATTCCTTGTCGATGGAGACTTCTTCAACTATTCAAAGCCCTCATTCTTTGTCTTATTACAATGCACTGTATTTTTTTAAATGCATTTTTTTTAGTTGTAGATAAACACAATACCTTTATTTATTTTTGTGGTGCTGAGGATCTAACTCAGTACCACACATGTGCAAGGCAAGYGCTCCACCACTGAGCCACAACCCCAGCCCTGCACTGTATATTTTATACTTAAGTCATATTACATTGAGGAATTTCTACCTAGAACTTTGCTGATATACCATTTTGCTCCAGAAGTATGATAAGGGTTTAGGAAAAAATAGTAGCAAAGTAAACCAAAGTATGTTTTAAGCCAGTAGAGTCTCATTTGTGTATAGATGCTACACTTCATTTTATTGTTATTATTATTATTATTATTTTGARATGTGTTTTCATCCKGTTGCTCAGACTGTCCTCAAACTCACAATCCTATTGCCTCACCCTCCTGAGCAGCTGGGAGCACTGGCACATGCCACCATGCCTGGCTAGATGCTACATTGTAAACTGTGGATAAAATGCTAGTAAGTTCTATGAATGCTTCTCTGTGCAACACATGAGATCTACTTTATGTTCTATGTGTGATATTAATTATAATGTGAAAAGCTATGTTGCTCTTACAGAAGCGTCAGAATGAAGCATTTTTATGTGAAATCTTTATAATAATGTGTAAATAATCTGTGGTCTCAAAAATTGAAATAAGAACTATGTAGTCATCATCTCCTCAATTAGTCAAGATTTTAATTTAACTTAACAAATTCAAGGCCAAGTACTAATATTGTTGGTTGACTGCCTGGCATCCTCTCCCACCCCCTGTCCCCAATTTCTAAATGGCATCCAGATTTGGTTAGATAAATCCTATTGCTGTATAGTAATTTCTTTTGAGGAAACAGACCTCATTCTCAGGTCAAAAGGAAGACCTTGAATGATTTTAAAAAATCAATACAATGAATAGGTCAGGAGGCAATGAGACAGGATGAAATATATATATATATATATATATATAGAGGACTCTGGCAACAAGAGCTCCCAATTCTTATGGAAAATCAGAAGAAAAGAGATTTCTTTGGAAATCTACATGAATAAGGGTTGCTGGAGTTCAATCCATACACACCTATCCTATAACCACAGGGACAAAGCCAATGAAGTTTGTCATTGTTCAGACCTGGCTAAGTGTTATGTATGATTAGAAGTATCCCAGCTCATATAGAAAACTTAAATACTATGATATGCGATATATTTAATTGTACACACATTCATAYATACACACAGTAGATTCCAGGAAACTGAAAAACTCTCAAGCAACTCCTCTTTCAAGGAGAAAGAAAATAAAATTTAAATACTTAATAAAACTAAGGTGACTTCTGAATCTGTAATAAGTGATACAAATGCAAAATAATACATGAGAAATATCAATATTTCTGGGGAAGAAATAGAAAATAACACTRTCCTTCACACTAGAAAGAACACTTGCCTGCACTGACATGACCAATCCTCTGTTTTTTAAAGTCAGATCCACTAAGGCATAATTTACAAATAATAAAATTCACCCTTTGTGGTGTATTTTTCTAGGAGGTTTGAAAAATGCATTAAATCATGTAACCACTACTACAATTAAAATGCAGAACATTTCCATGGTGACCAACCTTCTCTCCATTTCCAGATTCCCATACCAGCTCCTGGTAACCACTGATCTGTTCTTTCCCCCAAAGTCATGTAAATGGAATCACAATAAATGAGCTTTTTTGCATCTTGTTTTTCATTTCGTGAGATGCATTTGAGATATCTCYATTTGTTTTTTAATGTCAATAGTTTGATCCCTTATTTTATTCTAATAATKATGATGAGTCTTCTTGACTCACACACAGTCTTTTATATGGTCTGCTTCTAGTCTGTCCTCATCTTTTGAAAAAGCAGTCCAGCAGAATTTGTGCCATCATAAAATATTTTTCATAAGACAGAAATTGTGTCATGTGTTACTGCTATGCAATGAAGTCACCCTGGAGGTTTTCCACAGACCTACAGGATCTTAAATARGATGTTTATAAGAAACAATCTTTTGCTGACTTCAAGGCATATGTTAGCTGAACTTGGCAAATTGTGAATATTCTGGTCAAATTTTGCAAAATCCAAGAGGGATGTCAGCAATTATTAGCAAAAGCTATACTCCTTCCATACAGATGGTCTTCTGTAYATCAGTTCCCTGACCTTGCTAAAGCCAACACAAACATAAGCAAAAGTAAGCTTGCTGACATACGGTTTAATCACTCACCTACATATAGGTTTGCAGAAAAGTTATTAGGAATTTTGTGGTGAGAAAATCATGGACTCATGGATGCTTGCTCTAAGTTAATAAAAAAAAATATCATCATAATAACAGTTAACACTTATTCACTGATGGCTTGTTATGTGCCAAACACTGTTGTAAGGATTTCACATCAACTGACTATTCTTTGTAACTCAATAAAATAGGTACCCATTTTTTAAAAGTTCTATTTTTCATCAACATACACACAACAAAATGAAATCCTGATCTGAAGGAAGTCAAGTAATTGACCCACAGTCACACAGTTACAAAGTGACTGTATTAGATTCCAATCATATAGGAGAGTCCACAACTTTAAGTAACTAT